TTCGGAAACGGTCCACTAATAATGATTACAGACAGTATATATTTACGCTGGAATTCAAAAGATCTCTTACACGTTATATGCCTATTTCCTGTCTGTTGTGTGCAGCTATATAGTAATAGTATGCCTACCGCCAGGGTTGTGATATTTGTTGCTTTTTGATATCCTCGTTGCGACCAGGGGTGGTGGTGTCGGCAAATCATATAAAAGTCCATATATAATATACACCAACGGCTGTGGCTCAATAATATTATTAGGTATACAATAGATTATCGCGCAGACGTCTATATTGTCAACAAACAAAAAATAAAATGGCAGCGCGAGTGTATAGGTACTATACAGTCCATGGCTTAGGTATAGATCGTGCCCTTTTGAGCTATAATTGTAATTCCTTAACATGATAAATTAATTATTGCATTATAGTCATCAATGCATTTTTTAAACTAGTAAACTATCAGGYGACACGAATGTCATCCAGTTAAAATATTTTGTCACCTAGTTTCACTGTACGACAAACAATCCTCAAAAGTTGAATTATTGTACTACGTATGTAAAAAAAAAAAAAAATAATTAAGCAATGAAAAAATATTCAATCTTCCTTGAAACCAGTGGCGTAACGATAGGGTGGTATGACGGGCAACGGGCCCATGACTCTAGAGGTCCCTTCAAGAAAAAAAAATAGTACACTCAAAAACAAATCACCATTAATGAAATTTATAAATACGATTCCGTTTAAAAATATATGTATATTCTTGTAAAATAAAATAAATTTAATAACTGATCACGATTTATTTATAGATTATTTTATTTACCAGTCCGTTGACATTGTCGATATTAATATTATTATACAATATTTAATGATATTGGTATTTGTAGAATGGAAATAACAATGAAGCGTATCACAATCGCTTGTCTTTGAAACCGAACGTAACATTTTAGCTGTAAGATCAACTCTTAAAAATCAAATAAGTCAACTTAATTCAACTAGAGATCTTGCTCAACTTTTAATCGTGAAACATCATTCTTTAACAGCCAGTTTCCCAGAAGTATGTACTGCTCTTTTATTATTTTTGACAATTCCTGTTACATCTGCAAGCGCGGAACGGTCATTTTCGAAACTAAAAATTAWTAAAGGATATTTAAGGAGTACAATGATGCAAGATCGTTTAAGTGGCCTGGCGTTAATTTCAATCGCACAAGAAACAGCCCGAGAATTTGACTTTGAAAATTTAATCGATATGTTTGTCGAAGCAAAAGCAAGAGAGAAGAAATTTTTAATATTTAAATTTTGTATTGCTTTGTATATATTTTTTAAACCAAAAGAATGTTTAGTAAAATTTTACTATAAAAATAATATTACACTAAACATGTTTTGTATTGTTTATAACCTTAAAGGGTAGAATTCTATGGGTGGTTAGTTTTTGTAGGCTATTCCTCATATCACTTTCTTCCAAATTTATAAAACTAAGGGCCCGATTGGATTATTTTGCCACGGGCATTAAATGTTCTGGTTACGCCACTGCTTGAAACTACCTCTTGTTTCAAACAAATTATAACACATCTTCATTGGCTTTTACATTCTATCATTAATATTTATTTTTAATAATTATGAGGGGAGGAGCGACCATGAAATAGTTCTATTATACTCTACTAAAATTAGTATAATTTAATATATATTTTTGAGAATATTCTTCAACCCTTGAAAATTCCATAGTAAATTCACTGGAAATAGTATTACGATTTACGATAACCTAGTAAGTACAGCGTTTACCCAAACCGTGGTCCGCTGACCCCTAGGTGTCTACCGGAGGGGGGTCTGAGGATTTTTATTATTTATTAAATTGTTAGATTAGGCTATTTTTATCGCGTGGTCCACAATCGTTTTAACTAAGTGGTCCGGCGGAGAAAATTTTTGGGAAAACGCTGACCTATAATATTTAAGCCATGGCTATACACCTATACACCTACCATCATCGACGTTCTCACTGCAGGGGGAGAAGTGTACGCTGAACGGGTTTGAATAATAGATTTGTGAGGGCCGAACAAGTCCAAGCTGGGACAGCGGGTACGTACAATGCTCAATAAATAATTATTCATAGCTCAATAGTTGCAGACTTGCAGTTATCCAAAAAGCGTATCGCACTACCGATAATAATTATTCATTTCTGCAGTGTTTAACAGGATGTGTCTACACATACAACTGTGGGTGTGTTGTGAATTGTATACAAGATATCTAAAAAGGTTATTTTTTTGTTTTCGAGTTAAAAATGTTTAACTAGATAGTCACGTATACATAGGTCATTTTGTACATGAAAAGAATAGGCCACGTGGTAAATAATAATAATACGTTCGCGGTGTCTGATTTGAAACCCTGCGTACACCTGCAGTGTTACATACACTTGCTTAGAGTTGTATGAAAACCGATAGGTACCGACAAAACTCTTCGTGTTGTAATAATAATAATAATAATAATAATATTATAATAATCATCGGTCCCTCGGTTGAAATGTTTGGCATTTCCGTATATATTATATGATATCGTGCTACCTTCTATATATAGGTACGTACATTCAATATTATATTATACATATATATATATATATATATATACGAGGAGAAAACACGCCAAAAGTGTATAGGCGTAAGTGACGATCGCGTACAAAACGGTGAACGAAAACAATGGTTTCTGAGCTCGCGTGTGCCCGTGTGGGTGATATGTCAGCACGTGTATGTGTAATGTATGTGTGTGTGTGTGCGTGCGTGCGTATCTCTCGTATATGACGGTTAGCAGTGGACACGTTTTCATTGATACCCGACACGAGTGCGGTAGGTCTATACATAATCGTATATTATGTATGATGGGAAGAAGCTCGGCAAATCGATCTCAGCTGTGCACAAAGTGTCTGTGAAATGAAACGTGGTGCGGAGAAATGTGATGATATTTCCGCCGCCGTTAACTTCGCGACTGATAACCGTATATATATATATACGCTATTATAAACAATATATGACGACGCGTGAGAGTATATAGTTTGGATGTGTGTCCAAAGACATAAAAGTACATATAATCGTCATGTTATGACGTACACAACCATCGACTGTCCACCACATATACATATACCTATATCTACTATGGGTGGCGAAAACTCGTGTGGGTACTGTCATAATAATTACTATGCATCATTATAATATATATATATATATATATATATATATATTACATACCGACGAGTATATCGTAAACGTAATGATGTATTATTAGGGCAGGGTAAAGCCGCGGCGACGGCGGTGTTCGCTGTGCCCAACAACAATGATAATAATATAATACATATAAATTACGTATCGTCTACGACACTTGATCAATATTGTTGGTTTTTAGCGGCCAAAAGGAAAGAAAACGAGTTCGCATTCGGCAGGAAGAAAATCTAGTTCATATAAAATATACCAGCGTGACGTCACGACGTGTACGGCGAGTGGGCTGGCGTCACCAGTCGGCGAGTGGAAACTCGATTTTTCTCGTAAATTTTGTTGAAAACAATTTTTTCCCCGCGCCCTCCTCCGATCCACCACCCCGCAACTATCCTCCCCGGACGACACCGCATACCCATATAACTACACTGTGCTCCTCGTCCATGACGGTTCCTTACCTCGAGGCAGCGGGTAATGAGATTGTCAAAATCCGACTATAGCGTATAATACAATATATATACATATGATGTATAAAATAGTATTCGGATTGTCGTAAAATAACCATAAAATTATTATTATTATACCTAATATACCTAATATACATTACATATATATATTAACCGCGGTGGTAGTGCTGACTTAAAGACAATCGTAATTTGTTTTATTATTTTGGAATACGAGTCGACGACGTATGGCGGAAGATTCCGGCGATGACCAAATAGAATGGAGTCGCGGGAAACGGTTTTCGCTGCATGTTTCAGTGTGTTTATGACGAGTAGGTAATATGATATTATTCGACGCGTAAACTCTTTTTACGCATGACCATCTCGTATTATCAAAATTTATTTTTATTATTATTATTACTATATCCGGTAAAGTTTTTGATCCGTTTATATGTTGCACGTGTCGCGCGACAACTGACGATCAAAGGTTTGCGCCGGCCTAACAGTATATAATAATGATATACCTACGCGAAAATTGTGATTTAATATAATAAAAATGTCAATTTTTCGTGCCGGTCTCTTCAAACCATTTATTATACACACTATACATAGCTATATCCGGAAATTAGAAAAGTTGCGGTGGGCTGATAATAAAATAATATATTATATTATTTTATATAAAATTCATAGCGTGCGGGAGCCCGACCGTGTTGGCAACAGAGAGTGGTTTCTTTTCGGCGAGTTTTCAACCAAAAGGTCCAATTCAACCCACTCTTTTCCTCTGTGTCACTCTCACTCGATCTCTCTCTCTCTGCGCTGTATAAAACGCACACACACACACGCTCTGGCGTTGGTGGCCCAGTTCCATTGTAAAAGAAATTGGCGACGTGCCTAATTAGTTTTGCAGACGAATTTTTCCCGCGGCGGCAAGGGTGAAGGCGCGAGGGTGAGTCGTAACGGCGGCGGATGAATAAAAACCGTCATGGAACGCACGCGAGGACGATAAACGGAAAAAAAATTGCAAGAAAAATTCACTCTGCCACGCTGCGGCGATATCGTTTTTTTTTTTATGCGCGCAGTTTTTCGCATCGTCGGGGTGCGGTGGGCGGGTAGGTGGGTGGACGTGGTGGAGGTGAGGCACGCATCGTGACGTGTACTTACGGCGACGCGTGGCCAGTCGTAGTAATATAGCGTAGTGCGTATCGCAGTCGGAAGTGACGGCTGTGGCGGCGGCGGTGGAGGTCGTCCTATATAGCGGCGGTTGTGGAGGCGGCGGCCACGATGGTGGCGGTGACGTCAGTGCTTATATATTATTATACTACGGAAATCTCGTATTTCGACGAGAAACTTTGATAATAGCAGCGGCTGTACCTGAGTGATAATAGCTTTGCGAGCGTGATGAGGTGCGGCCGCCGTTCGATAACACAAAAGCGGCGACGGCAGTGGAAAATGACGGCGGCGCGACGATAACGGCGGCGGCGACGACGACGACGACGACGAAAACGGCTACGACGAGAACGGCTACGACGACGGCAACGGCGACGGCCGTGCGGGGCGAACGTGCACTCGGCGGTGCGACTGACCACTGCGAGCGCAGCGGAGTCAGCGGCAGCGATAAGGGCCAGCGGTGTCGGACGCGTTGTTGTTGTTGTTGTTGTTGTTGGTGCTGCTGCCGTCGGACGGTGGCATCGACGACGACGGACGTAGGAAGCGACACGAGACGGCGGCGGCGGCGGCGAAAGCTGCGATACGGGTGCGCCGTAACGACGGCGGCGATAATAAAGCTCCGAACGGCTGCGGCATCGCCACTGACGGGCACGAAAAAGTATCGGCCGGCGCGCCGCAAAGTTGGTAGCACGGTGTGTTGTACGCGTGTGTACGACTACGTCATAGCCCATACAGAATGCGCGTATATTGTATATATATATATATATGTACGACACCGCTCGGTCTGCACGTCTCGCGCGCACAGTCAGCTGAGCGGAGCGTATCGCACCCTCTCACGCGTTCGCCGGCCCGCAGCAGAAGGGTAGTAGTGGAAAGGCCGTCATCGCCACCACCGCTAACACCGCCGCCCCGTCTCGGATGCGCGCGCATCAAAGTCGTATTCTCCCGCATGTCGCGTGATAACGTGCCGTACACACGTATTCATATATATATATATATATACAATAATATGTATCACGTCGTATATACCTCTACATATATGTATGATACGCATACGCGCAGACAATGACACCGCCACCGAAACCGACACCACGTCCTGTTCATCTACTTCTACTTTTTCTTCTTCTTCTTCTTCTTCTTCTTCTGCTCTATCTGTTCTCCGCCGACTCCGCTGCCACCGTGTCGCCGCCGCACGCACGATATCATACCCGCCGCGCGTCGGCGTTCGTTTATATAGACGAAACTTTCTGCTCTCATTCTTGCGCCCATTCTGCCACCGCTGCATAGTATCATATTATTATAGTCGCCGCCGCCGCCACTGATGACCAACCGCCGGCCCATCCCTCCTTCAACCCCTTTCAACCCTTCTCACGAGTCCACGCACACGGCCATTATGCCCCACCGGTGTGATAAGCAGATAAGTCATATATCTCGGTGCATTGTCATTTGTGTGCCTATATACAATATAATAATATATATACAGGGTGCCCCGCGAGGATTTACCCATTGCGATATATCCCGAAATATTAATGGTGATATCGAAATTCTGGTTTTGTAATAAGACTCACAGCTAGGGATAAGAACTACAATTATTTCATTTTTAAATTTATTTTAATGTTTGGATAAAAAAGTTAAAAAATTTATTTTTTTATTTAATTATTTCCAAAAAAAATTAAAGATAGCCATTTTGTAGAGTTTATTTTTCTGAAAATATTGACGTTTCAAAATTTTATTTTCATTAATTTCCTGATTTCTAATATTTTTTTCTAGTTTTTAAGAAATAAAATATGATGATTATAAATTTATAACTATTACTTATTAGGAACACGGAAAGTATTCGGCCGGCCGTATGGTACTGCGCGGGGCGCGGCGGATCACATGTTTGATAACATGACGGTGTTAAATAATTCGCAATTTTTCTCGAAACTAAAAAAATATAAAAAATCATGAAATTAATGAAAATACAATTTTGAAACGTCAATATTTTCAGAAAAATAAACTCAACAAATTGGCTATCTTTAATTTTTTAACTTTTTTACCAAAACATTAAAATATGAAATAATTGTAGTTCTTATCCTTGTGAGTCTTATTACAAAACCGGAATTTCGATATCACCATTATTTCGAGAGATATCGCAATGGGTAAATCCTCACGGGACACCCTGTATATGTATCATCACRTCATGCGAGTGTAATAATAATAGTAATAATAATAATGTAGACATGACCGCAATACGATCCATATACGTGACCTCCGCCGTCGGATCCATATGGTAATAATAAAAAAAAWTTTTATTTTTATCTAGTGTTTATACAATAGTATTACTTACATAAGAAAAAAAAAGTACAACAAGCATAAAGGATGTTTTAATTATAATAATATAAGTAGCAGCTTGAATGTCTTGATCGGAGAACCAACCAGCGAAGGCACTTCATCGGCATGAATTTACAAATTATTTATTATTATTATTATGTTTAATTATGTATAAGATCTCGAGGCCACAGTCTACTGGGAGGATTCCCGGGGATGGAGATGGATAGTAACTTTTTAACACGAGGATTAGTGTGATTTTGAAGCCGATTTCTGAATTTAGAGCAAAATATAGCTTGGCTGTTTCGATGACTAGAAATATGGAGATCTGTATGAAGGGTGTGGCTAACATAATAATAATTACGAATAATTTAAAATACGCGCGTATTAAAAACGGATGACCTACTAGATTAATATTATGATATAAACCCGATTTCCTCTTTTTGTTTCATCGATTTATCAATATCTTCCGACACACTTAAACATAAATTACCGCCGACCATCGTCCCCCCGCGATTCATAATAGTAATATATATATATATATATATACAATATGTACAAAATAGCTCTTTCCTATAATATATTAATATATTGTCAATAATAGGAGTGTAAGTGATAAGTCGTCGAGCATTCGTCTACTTCAACGTCGCATCAGTTCACCAATAAGTGTTGAGCTGCAGTATCATACAAGTACTTTCTAATGTTTGGTGTACAGTATATTATAATAATACAGTGGACGCCGCCGCTTATATAAGACTCACTAGTCACTATACGGATATAATAAGTTTAATCACTTCACAGACACAAAATCGTCTAGAACGGTCCGGAAGTATCCAAATACACATTAAGAAAAATTCGATTATAAGACTCGCCATCACTTCGTTTGTAAGAATCAAATTTCGTAAAAAAAAAAAAAAGGGTGGAAAATAAATATTTTTGATTAACATTTAGAAATAAATTTGTTTTCAAAAATAACATGTTTTTGTTAATTATTACTGATTTCGATTTATGGCTTATAATTTATTATCATTATAATTTATTTATTTATCTATTATTTATTATTTATGATTTATAATGTGTGTACCTATACCTATGTGTACAACGTTTTATCATAATTTTTTTTTTCATTTATTCGCACGAATTAAGTGATGTGTATAATATGCATGTATTATAGCAATATAAAAATATAAATGTGATAAAATTAAATTCATGAATATAATAGGCTCTTGGTGGTTCTTTTTCACTTCGCCTATAATATTCATTCGGTTATAAGAATCATTTTGTGTGCTGGTCTCAAATTGAGTGTAAGTCGTATAAGCGCCGTACACTGTGTAGTATTTAATGGAATAATTTATGATTCATCGCTGATTGTTTGTTGAGGGTCACTATTCGGATTATAAATAATTATTATTTTCAATAATATAATGATTTTTCCGACCCGGTGAAACATTATGTTACGTGAGGATATKGTTGTTTCAACTTTTTAATACGCACACCAAACTAAACCACGCAGACCCACATTAAGCCATCATTCATTAAAATATAGTGTTATTTATTTAGAATTTGTCATTCGACTAAAGAGCCAAACGGCGAATGCGAAAAAAAAGTGATTAGTTTTTAACGGAAATCATATTGTGTAGATTATTATTTAACTCGCCGTGTAATATATAGGTTTATCATGTTCTGTTTTTTGATCGATATTTTGTAGTCGCGAAGAATTTTAACTACTAATTACAAAGGTCTAAATTCGTACCGTAATTATAATTTTTATTAATTGAGGTTTGCAGAATGATTTATGAGTTGCACCGAGATGATTATTACACCGTATTAGAAAAAGATGTAAAAATAAATTATCTTAGAAGTTTTTAATTGCTTAAAATATTGAATTAATTTTGAAAACCATTATGTTAGCACAATTTCAGAATATTTATAATATTATATATTCGAACAGAGATATTATATCAATGTATTAAAATATTAAATATATTTTACTATACATTATTAGCCTTATTTATAGCGTTGTTTATGAATACTGAATACCTAATTTAATCTCCTGCACATTTTAACCGTGATAAACTAATAGTATTTACCCCCTACAAAGTAAATATTTGTTATTTAATTTTACCTAACATAATTCCGTTATGCTCTGAGAGAATTTTCAATTAATCAATAGTCGGAAACATAACGCAGTATTGCCCTCAGGTACTCCGTCGTTATACAATAATGTTTAATTGGTAATATATATTTTACGAATTTACGATAAGATAATAAGATAATAATTATAATTGTTACAATGCAAAAAAAATACGAACTTAACATTTTTTTTTTCAGCATAAATAAATACGATTATTTTAATTGTCCTTTTTTTTTTAATATTAACATTTTTATCAATACATTTTTTTATACACAAACTATATTGGTTTACACTATTTTTTTCCTTCAGTTAACTACATACGCCTACCCGTCTAATTTTTTTTAAATTGTTTTATACGCAAATAAATATATTGAGTACCACATTTTACACTATAATATTATAAAAAAAGTATTAAGCTATATAAATATAAATTACAGTTGTAACACATCGATAACAATTAAAATAACAATTTATATATATATGTATATACACTGCAGGCCCTATTGTATGCAACATTTCGGACTACACACTTAATTTTACTGGTTTAAGCAGAAATTTTATTCTCGCTACACAGTCTTAGAAAAAGCAATGTATTACATATACATATATATAGGTATAGGTATATGCATATAAATATAATAATTTAACAATGCATTTAAATAAAACAACGAAATTCAGGAAATACTCGTGTTTCCTAGTAGCTGGCATATTATTTAATTTTGGTTTTGTAGACCGTAGTGCACACATGTTCAAATCGTAGTGCACACTTGTACATTCGTAGAGCACTTTGTGTGTCGTGGTGCACATTGTGTGCCGTGAATTCGTGATGGACATAAAAATAAGGCCAACCGTATATAGTATGTATATAAACCATACAACCATACATTTTTTTATGCTCAGTTTGCTTACGAATACAATTTTAATTGAAATAATTGTAGCCTATATACTGACTTTAATTTTAGATTCTGAGCTGAGCGAGGAATGTATTGATTTTACCATGATGTGTGTGTGTGTGTCATCACGATTTGGGGCTGTAAAAATGCTTCGATTTTCGTCTTCAGTGCCTTGTTAGATCAGAAAGTGAATATAGTTGGTACTTTGGGGGATCAAAAGTGAAAAATCTAGATATTTCTCTAAATAATCGGGATAAACAGACTAAAAATTAAGGGAAATTTTACGCA